CGCGGCCCCGGCCCCCCGGGAGCCGCCGCAGCGGCGCCGGGCCTAGCGCGGGGGCTGCAGGTGCTTGTTGTGCCGCGGCGAAAGCGGGTTTGAGGGGGGTCTGAGGCGAAACGGAGCAGAGCGGGCCAAGTTGGTGGCTCCTCCCGGGGAGCAGCTCCGTGGTGCCTGCGGCGGTATCGCGCGTGGCAGCTGCGGAGCTGCCGCCGCCTTCCCGTCCCAGCGGAGCGCGGGCCCCGGCGGCGCCGTGAGGCGGCCCCGCGGCGGCCATGGGCGCCGCCGGCCACAGCGTCGTCCTCCTGCAGCAGCTCAACATGCAGCGCGAGTTCGGCTTCCTGTGCGACTGCACGGTTGCCATTGGAGATGTTTACTTCAAAGCCCACAGAGCGGTGCTCGCCGCTTTCTCCAACTACTTTAAGATGATATTTATTCACCAGACAAGGTAAGGACGTGCTGCTTGGCTTCCTGCCTTTTGACCACTTTCTTCAGCCACCTGCTTTTCTGCCCTTTCTGAAGGCTTTGCGCTATTTAAGAGGGTAAGCGGGGATGTTCGGTGGCCTGAGATCATTATCCGAGGCCTTGGCTCTCTAAATGTTCCCCCTTCAGAGATATAGTGTCATGCAGTCCATTAAAACCGTGGTTGAACAACATATTTTAGCATTCGGGCTGCACACTTTAAAGATGAGACGTTTGCGCGACCAGACAAAAACTGCAGTCCTGCAGTAAGAGCTCGCAAACTTTTAATCTGGGGCTATACGTGTGCCTTTGGTCGCTGTGCAGCATGTGTGCTGCTCTGCGCTGGCCTCTGGCAGTGTTTGTGTCAAGCCTTGAGGGAGCTCAGGGTCTGCAGGTGCCGGCAGTTCTGCTGCCCCGAGCCAGACACTGGGCTTAGCTACAGCCTGGAGCTGCGCAAGGGGATGGCGTCTGCGCCCGAGCGAAGGCTCCCTGGCCTCCTGCTCCCATCTCCTGCTCGCTCAGTGCCTATTATCSCTCCAGCCGCCAGCAGCAGCAGTTCAGGTGTCGCTTGCACCCTTGCGTAGGCTGCAGGGCATCCCCACCCTGCCTGGCCCAGCACCAGCTGCTTAGACATTATCCCATCAAAGGGGAAAACAAAAGGGGTGAGTTGTCCAGCTTGCTGGGTCCGACAGACCCTTTYGGCTTCCGTGGGTTTAAAGCAATCAAGAAAAGGCAGCCTTATCTGTGCTGCAGATAAGGGCTSCACTGAGATCATCAGCTTATTTTGTGCTTAGCACCGTGAGCGAGGCTACCATCCAGGGCCTCACCTGCCCAGGTAAGAAGTGGCTGCGCTAACACCGTGAAGTTGGAGCCACGTTCTGGTCTGGCCTCTGGGATGGCTCTTAATGGGTGCAGCTCCTGCATCGCCTTCCTTTTTGCGAGGGTGACGATGGGGACCTTCAGCACCTTTGCGAGGTAATCGGTCGCTGTGAGCCACACAGCCCTTCAGCTGGAAGTGACAAGATCAAGATCAGTTCCCTTCTAAAAGATACTGTTTGCTGACACTGCAGTGTAAAGCCCATAAAATAGCAGCAGCCACTGCCTTTATGGACTGGATGCACAAACACTCTTTGCCCTGTCCTCTCCGAGCGGCGCGCGCTGTCCGGGCAGCAGCAGCGCTCGCAATTCGCTGCGTAAGCAGCGACTGAGCGKCCCCTCTCGCTGTCTCTGACCATGCACACGGCCATGGTCGTGTCTAAATGCACACTGTGGTGCCTGGCCATGCACGCGGAGCCACGTGCCGCTTTGCGCCATGGCTCCGGAGGTGGCTCCGGACGTGGCTCCAGAGGTGGGGAGCAGCAAAGCTTTGCACAGCAAACACGGAGCGAGTGGCGAGGCAGGGCATGGCTCGGGGCTGCCATCCGGACGCGCTTCATCAGCTGTTTTGTTTCAGTGAGTGCATAAAGATCCAGCCCACGGATATCCAGCCTGACATATTCAGCTACCTGCTGCACATCATGTACACGGGCAAGGGGCCCAAACAGGCGGTGAGCCGGAGCCGCCTGGAGGAGGGCATCCGCTTCCTGCACGCCGACCACCTTTCCCACATCGCCGTCGAGATGAACCAGGCTTTTTCCCCRGAGACGGTGCCCTCCTCCAACCTCTATGGGATCCAGATCTCAACTGCACACAAAGCCAAACGTCTGGAAGCGAAGGAGAGCGTGGCGAGCGCAGGGAGCCGGCCCGCGGCGCCGGGGGAGCACCCGCAGCTGCAGCTCTCCCTCGCCATCGGCCTGGAGGACGGCCCGCTGGAGCAGCAGGTCGCCCGTCCGTCGACGCAGCCTGTGCCTGCTGCCAAGCCTGCCCAGGAGCTTCCCAAGCTCTCCGTCTCCATCAAGCAGGAGAAGAGCGACTCGGAGTCCGTCGTGTCGCAGAGCTGCAGCCCTCCCTCTCCGGGCACAGTGCATCCCACCTTGGGCAAAGCCGGCCACAAGGTGCACTTGTGCCACTACTGYGGGGAACGCTTCGTCTCGCGGGGCGCCTTGCGGGAGCACCTACATGGCCATGTGTCGGGCTCACTGCCCTTCGGGGTGCCCGCCTCCATCCTGGAGAGCAGCGACCTGGGGCAGGTGCAGCCGCTCGCCGCGGGCAGCGAGGCCGAAGGCGCCCACCTYGGCGCCTTCCTCCTCCGGGAGGACGAGCAGCAGGAGCGCCCGGCGCGCGGCGACCTGGAGCCCTTGCAGATAGGGCAGCTCTCACTCATCTCCAAGGACCACGAGCCCGTAGAGCTCAACTGCAATTTTTCCTTCTCCAGGAAGAGAAAAGTCAGTTGCAGCCTGTGCGGCCGCACGTTCTTCCGCAAGAGCCAGTTGCTGGAGCACATGTACACGCACAAGGGGCAGCAGCACAAGCACAGCCGCTGCCAGCGCCTGGAGAGCCCCGCCACCCCCAGGTTCCGCCCCTACTGCGACAGCGAGAGCATGGCAAAGGGCTCGGGATTGTCCCAGGAGCACTTGGATTCCTGTATTCTGGAGTCCGACCTGATCCAGGAAAGTGTTGACACGATCCTCGTGGAGTAGTTCTGTTGCGTGGCCTCTAGGTGCTGAAAGCGTCGGCGTTTTCTGTTTAGTGACTTTGCTCTAGAGCTGGTTGTTTGTAACCACCGTACCTGTCTCTGGGGTGACAGAGGTAACTGTGAAGATCTGTACACTTTGTGTATTTACATTTTTACTACTTCAACTTTTAAACATAAACTAATTAAAACCAGTGTCCGTGGAAGCCTCCATGTAATTTAGCTGCATTTTCGTAAATGTAAACTTACCTCTGCTGTGCTTTACTGCCCTTGAGACTGTAGAAGTTGTTGAGTGTGAGGTTTAAGCATCATCTGAGCCGCATCTAAGACTGTGTGCTGTAGAATTGCTCTCCTGAAACTAGAATAAGGAAAATGTGTAGGGAAATCTGTGTTGTTCTTTCCACATAATTTTGTTTTTAAGTCAAAATAAAAATGTCAAGAAAATAAGTCCTGAAGTTCACGTTGTGTAACAGCAGCTACTGAATCTCTGGATGACTACACTTGGGAGCCCTAAGTTGGTCTCTTTGTGGGTATTGGTGGAGTTTTTTTGGGGGGCAACCTTAATTCCTGCTCCTACCTCATCAGCCTGCATGAACCTCTGTATGAAGAGAGACGGTCTGTGGCCTTGCAGCCCTTCCAAGGAGGAAGGTGAGGGGCAGCGATGTGCTCCTCTACTCGGGTTCCCTGGAAAGTGTGTCCGCAGCAGGGTCTTCACCAGATTAAACACCACACAAGGGTGTTCAGTGCAAATGATCTCTGGCTCGTTAAACAGCTTGGAATAAATACATTCTTAAATGCTACAGTATATTGATTGGAAGAAAACACATAAGGTGTTACTCCTCTGCTTGTGAAAGAGTCCTAGAAGTGGTAAAAATGGAGTTTTTTGGCCTTTGTTTGTTATTGCTTGGTCCCTGGAAAGTAATAACTTACTGGAGCGCGGTGTAGGGAATCATGCCTGTGAGCTCCTGTGGGGCTCCACCTTTGGCTCTGGGGGTGTCCCCCAGACCCTCACCCTGCGGGTGGCACAGGCCCTCCCTGAGGACCGGCCCTGCCAGGCCCCCCCAGCCGCCTTGTGCTGAATCCCGCAGCACAGAAGCGCCTCGAGCAGCCGCACATGAGGCCTCGCGGCCGCCGCGCACCCAGACCCACGGCTCCCACCACCCGCAATCTGGGATGTCCGCAGGGACAGGCACGGCGTTGGCAAAGGAGCAGTTTGGGCAGGGGTGAGGGCAGTCACTGCCAGCGTGCCCCGTCCTCTTTGTAGTCAGCACCCCCGAGCCGTCCTGGAGAGATCTGGAATGGAGTCGCTGCTGCGCTGAGAGGCCGGGGAGGCCTTTGTGGGGCGGCTGCTGCTGCCCGGGTGCTGCRCTGCACGCGCGGGGCCACGCGGAGCTGCCCTGGTGTATTGTGAGGTAAAGAGAAAATCCAACACCCCCAAAACCCCTCCGGACAAGCAGGCCTGCAGCCGCTGCGTGTGAGCACGGAGCAGCTGGCGTGAAGCAGCGGCGGAGCAGAGCGCTCYGGGGCATCCAAATGCTCATAGCACCAAGAAAACCTCAGTGGGCGCCARGAGGCCTCCTGCTAGGGGCAAATGCCCTCTGGCACCCACTGACCTCTCTTCCTGCAAGATGGAATAAGGAAATAAAAGGGGAGGAAGGAGGAGAGGGTGTTTTAGGCAGTTTCCTCTGTGTGGGGACACCTCGCTCACCAGGTGGCCTCTTGGTGTCACCTGCACCAGTCCACAGCGCTGCGGTTCCCATGGGTCATTTAGACTCCCCTTGGAGCACAGAGGCGCGTCCGGTGGGTAGGGGCCCAGCTTCATGAAAGGGCCAAAAGTGACGGTTTTCAGACCGTTCGGGGGAAGCCAAGCACCTGGGCAGCTTGGGCTAGATGCCTTATTTGCCTGAACTGTTCTATACTGAAAGCCAAGCTGCCCCTGCTGTGTTTGCATGTCACTTGCCRGGGTCAAGGAGGTGCCCTTAGCGTGAGGTGCCTTTATACAAAGGCATTTCTGCCAGGGAGCCGGTGACGGCACCGCTGGGAACAGCTCCTTCTCCYGCTGAGGCCGCAGGTTCGTGTTGAGGACGCGCCAGTGAAACCTGTGACCTTGAGTAGAAGGTACATCCACAGGACACATGTACATTAAGGTACTGAAGGCAGAAAAATCAGGAGAACTGCAATCATGTGGAAACCAGAGCCGTGCTTATATAGGTCTTTGAAAACCGATGACTGTAAACAGCTTTTTTATTACCATTAYTTGCCCCTTTACTGGGGTTACACTCAGGTTAATCCTTGTGGTACTAAATATCTGTATCTGAAAGCCGTTTTTTCATCATTTGCAACATGAGAAACATGTTGCCAGCCTTTTCTACCGACGGCGTTAAAGCGCTGCTATGATTAATGCAGCAGAAAGAGCTTGAGCGACAGGAGCCTTGTCAGCGCCAACTCACACGAAGCGGAGCCGCCCCTTGGAAGCAGCGCTCGCTCTGCAGCTCACGGGCAGGACATGATCGCGAACACGCTGTATTTGATAAGCAGCACGGGCGGCAGCTGCTGCCTGCCCGGCTGGGCAGGAAGGGCCGTGGTGCCGAGCGAGACGGCACCGRGACACCGGCCGCCTGCTTGAAACCCACCTCCTGCTGCGCCTGGTAACTGCCCACTCCCCATCTTTTTCATAAGAAAAAAGAAAAAATAATAATAAAAAGACTTGCCACAGTATGCAGAGCARTCCCGCCGGTAAGCGCTTACAGGTCTCTACACCTGGTCGATAAGTGTACAAATCTCGCAGCACCAGCACCACTCACCCAACGCCGAGCAGCACCCAGGAGCTTGAGGCCACTTGAGCTTTTCCACACGTGGAGGTTGTCCCSCGTGGCCGCGGCCCTGGGGCGACGAGGCCACCGGGCACCGGTGCCCTCGGCCAAACCAGCGCCAATGGGGCGGCCACAGGGTGACGGGCAGCGGGCAGGAACACGGGTTTGCTGTCACAGTGTAAACCCAAAGCAAAGAACCACTATCCTTAAAAATGGGACCGTTAAACACCACATTTTGGAGACCTCCTGGGAAGAGAAGGTTTTTCCAGTGCACAGAAGCAGGAAGCAGCCGTTGCCGTTAACACCAAGTCAGTGTCTGATGGGCACCTGSGAAAGCTCTGTCCACGAATGGTGCTTCCAGTTGAGTCATTTCAAAAGCAAAACATGACTCCTTACCCATCTTCCTCTTTCCCCCAGGTTTATCATGTTTGATGCATTATCACTTATCATTTTTATCATAAAACCTATGCAGGAAGGCTTTTCTTGTGTATTTTAGCTGCTTCCAGCTAAATGGAATTCTGCCTCATTGCAGCAAACACTGTATTTTAGCAAAGAACTGCACTCGTCATGATTTCCTACAGTAAGAACTGAGCGCAAAAGCCAATCCTCATAGTAAGTATTAACCTATAACATCATGTAAAGAAATGTGTAAGAAATAATACACTCTCTGGTTAGTTTCTGGAAAAAAATCACATTTAATGTAGGTATTTTATCCAGTTGCAAGTTAAATTAGTTTAATACCACCTAACAAGAGCCAACAAGAACCATTTCTTCAGGAAACAAAACACAGGTTAAAAAAGAAACTGAGGGCAACTGTAGGCAGCTGTGTCCAGCAGGACCTGTGAACGGCCCCTTCTCCTGGCGCCTTTGGTGATCTTGGRTTCCTCCAGAGGAAACCCTGCCCGGCAAGGGCCCTCCTGGGAGCTGCTGTCTCCTTTTCTCCTTTTGTTATCCCTGAAGGCAGCACCTTGCTCATTCTCTTGCATGCCTGTGTAAAAGCGCTCTTGGGTTTCCATTTTACACCTCAGCCCACATAGGAGAGCGCCCAGTGTTTATGCAGGGACAACATCTGACATTCAGACTTCTAACTTTGGCATCCTGGCTGCCGGTGGTTGCATCCAATGAGGTCCCCGTGGCTGCAGCGACCCTCTGGGCCCCACATTTGCACCAGCCTGCGGCGTCACGGGAAGCGAAACGGGATATTTATCCAAAGGGCCAGCATCTACCAGCAGCTTTCACACGGCAMACACATGTTGTTTCTGCTGGGCTCAGCACTGACAGGATAGAGAGGCTTTTTAACCCTGCTGCAACCCTTCTGGGGTGAGGGTTATGCTGTTCAACACTTCCTTCATTGTGGCTAATACCAATAAAAGAAAAAAAAAAGATATATATATATAWATAWATATATATATATACAATTAAAAATGAGTAGTAAATGAAAATATTACAGATGCCACAGCAAAGCACAGACAGGCGTTTTTCTGGGAATGAAAGCCAAGCTGTCCCTGCCATGCGGGCTGGAAACCCCTGGGAGAAGCAGCGGGGCTGGGGAGTGAGCAGCGCAAGAGCAGAACGCTCCAGGCAGGGCTCCGGGCGCCTGCAAACGCCGCCCGCGAGAGCCCGCTGCGAGCGGGGCCAGTGGTGTGGCGCGGTGCGGCGGTGAGGACGGACGGCGCCGCGGGACGGGGCCTCAGATAAAACCGGGGCTCCCGCGCCCGGTGCCTTCCCAGCCCCGCAGAGCCCTGCACAAGGGCTGGTTTCACCGCTCCTTCTCCCTGCACAAGGGCTGGTTTCACCGCTCCTTCTCCCAACGACTCAAGGTGTGCTGAGCGTTTTACCACCGTCTAGCTCTGCCTAAGGTGTTGATAGCTGCGGTGATCTTCATTTTCTTCTGTAAACCCGGAAGAGTAAATAGCAATATTACTATTGCAAACGGTAGTGATTTTCYTCTGTATTTTCCACATGCTTATAAGGGGCCTGGAGAAAGTACTTGGGAGATGTTTTGTAAAGAAAGAAAGCGCCAGGCCCCGTCCCAGCTGCACCAGAGGGCTCTGGCCCATGGCACCTGCCCTGCCCTGCAGCGGCACAGGGACCTCGAGCCTCCATGGACCATCAGGCCGCCACAGCGCGGCGGTGCTGAACTTGCCGAAGTAACCATGAAAACACCGGGATAGATGGAGCAAACGAAGCTGTGGCAGTGGCAGCTGTTTTATTCCAGTAGCTTGCAAGCAGAGGCAACAGACTGGCAAGCAGTGGGAAAGCAGGAAAGGAGGCACCGGCCGGGGCAGGTCTGCACAGGGGTCGGGGCTCCAGGTCGCTCCTCGCAGGGTGGTCGCCCTGCCTGCCCTGCAGGAGGGGCTTCCTCTTGCCACGTGCAGATCCCCTGCGGCGCTGCCCGCTCRGCCGCCACGCGGCAGGACCCTCCATCCATAGGTACCATAGGTCCTTGCAAGCCCAACACCCAAAGGGAACAGCACAAAGCACAAAGGCATTAATACTGCAAACACAATGAATTAGCAACATCCGATAACTTATTAAACAAACGGGAAAAAATAACAGGAACAATTTTGTTTTTATAATACCCTTGGATCCATCCAAGATT